CTAAGGTTATCGATAGGGGCCCCTTTGCACTGCGGGGGCTGTTGACGGTGCCGCCCCGAGCTGCCCCAGCTCAGCGGCTGCTTGTCCCAGCCCTGCGCTCAGACCCTCTGCCTGCAGGGCGTGGGGGCTGCTGTGAGGACCTGAGGGATGGTTGCCCTGTTGAACCAGGCAGACCGGCCATCTCGTCCCCCAGCTCTGGCACTACCTTCAGGGGAAGGAGCAACAGCCACTATAGCATAATGTGCCCAGGAGGGAAGTGTTTTCCAAACTCCTACCAGTAAAGAGATTTATTGCCTGTCCCTTTTCAGTGTTTTTGAAACTCTAAGAGCTTAATGTTCTCATGATTTACATTAGCATCTAATCCTTGCATAATCTCACTAATCCCTTGGCCCCAAGATATCCATTGGCAGTGAGTTCCATGGGTTAACCGGTTGCTGTATTCATTTGGTGGAGCAGATTTAAATCTTTTTCCATTCCCGTTGCGATCAACCTCCTTAACCTTCTGGCCAAGCATGGGAAAGGGGCAGCATCTCCCAAGGAATGGGCTTCGGTATTTTAAGTCCTTCCACGATTATTGTTGTGGCTGAGAGGCTCCATTGCGCACTGTTTTGTGTTGGGCTTGGAGCCCTTGAGAAAGCAAGATGATGTCAATGGGAGACGTGCTGGAATATTTTATTCTGCCAGAAAGAAAACAAAAATAAACATTGAAACCAGTGATATAAAAAAATATTGTAGGGGTTGTGCTGAACTGCCTCCTTCCCTCCTTCACCCTGTGTGTCCTGGGCATATGGTTCCTCCCCGGCCCGAGAGCCCCGTCATATCCAGACACAGTGGGGAGAATTAAAGAGGAAACTGGCAGCCTTAACATTTAATTTCCTTCCTCTTTCTGGGCTGGTCAGATCCTTTGCATTATTGTAGCTACTTTTTTTATCATGTCTATAAATAGATGCGCTCTCATGTGTCCCGTGAAGCAGAGTCGGGCCAAAAAAGTCATTCATTCCGCATAATCAATACATGAAAATGTAGTGGTTACTGGCTCAGATGAGATCTTGTATTGTTAGTTCTGTAGCTGGGAAAAAAATGTTGACTAATAAAGATTAAGGGCTTTTTTTTTTCTTTTTATGAAATGCTAATGATGAAGACATGTTTGATATACTGTGAAATACATTTCTCTAATGTGAAGTTTCTGCTTTTTGTTGGGAAAGAGATTCAGTCCCTGGAGGATTTTAGAATTTGTAAATATAAAATTATCTGCTTCAGTGTTTTTTAAAAAAATGTTGGCAGAAAGCCAGATTACTTACATTACTGTAATAGATTTGCTGACCTCTGACATCTGCTGCAGAGAAGTACATTGAATTTTTCATAATATCAGATGATGCAGATCTAAAAACTCAGTACACTCTGCACCATTATTTAATTCAGGACTTAGTAAAGCAAAATCTTTTTTTGAGTAGCAGTTTATATGTGATTAAACTTAATATTGCCGATTGTAATAAATCAGGATTAGTATAGTACTGATTTGTTAATCTAACTTGTATTGATTTTAAGTTGTCTTTATTTAAAAAGAAAAAAAAAAAAAGGACTGGCTTTTCACAGTGACTGAATTTAATAAGAAGCCCTGTGATAGCAAAGACTCCCCTACTGTTTCTGCTCTTGGCTGGAAAATGTTATTCTTGTATTATTCCAGGAAAGAAAAAAAAAAAAACAAAAAAAACCAAAAAACGCTCATGCTGCTAAAAATCTGCTGCCTGTGGAAAGATTTTTTAATACACTAGTGCTTACATATTCTATTTATGTTAATTGACTTATAAATAATACATTTTATTAATCTTAATATTGGAATCTTGATCATGATAAAGACCCTTTTATTTGGTCTCCTTGCAGGCTTTACAAGTAAATATTCTTTAGACCACAAAATATTCCCCCCCTTTTCCTTTTTTATGAATACTTTGATACTCCCCCCCCCCCAAAATACAGCCACAGGTCAAAGCGGCTGAAAACGTGGTGGTTGTTTCCAAAGTGCGATACATTCGAGGTATCCGGCTCTGGTTTTTTTGGACATCGTCTTTACCTCTCCTTGCGCAAAGATTGATTAAATCTTACCTGCGCTGCAAATATTTGACCAAAAAAAAAAAATTCTGTTGTGTTGGTTTCAGACATGTCACATTCTGCTAAACTATTTGGCTAACAGCAGATCGCATTCTTCCTGTGTTGGGCAATATTGACCTTAAATTGGCTAAGCCGGCTGCTTTCATGGCGTGTGAGCCGGCTGCTTACATGTTCTGAGAGCTGTATTAGCTTTATTACTCCTGCGCCATAAAAACTTCTAATAATCAAATGATAAGATCATATCCTGTGGGTAATTGTGTTGTACCATGACAGGATAACTGAAAAAACATTCAGTGAAAATTGCAACCGACGGAAATCTCTACGTGAAGCGGCAATTGTTGGCGTTGCTCGGCTCGGTGCTGCTCCCCAGGGTCTCGCAGCCCGCGTTCCTGCCCGGCTCCTCTCCAGCTGCCCCCCATGGCCCCCAAAACCCATCTCGGCGGCGGCAGGGAACAGCAGCCTGCCGGCCTTCGTTTCAAATGAGGAGGGGAAAATCCTAGAACAAGCCATCCTTGTGTTTTGATTCCGTTTTACCTTAGTCATGCCGCCTCCCCGATACACGAAACATTTAATTCCAGATTTCCTGCCGCTGGCTCCGGGCCTTTGACCGGCTATGTGAAATGTATTTTTACTGCTGTCGGCCTGCCAACTGCTGAGCTCAGTGAAAAATAACTAAAATGAAAACCTTGTACTCCCACATGAACCCTTAAGATGAGAAAAGGAAATTTAAGCCACGGTTACTAATTAGCGCCAAAGCTAATGAGTTCTGGTGAGGTGCAGCAGGAGGAGGAGGAGTTTGCGTCCCGCGTTACCCTACAAGGCTCGGTGGAGAGCACGCGAGCGGTGATTAATCGTCTCGGCCCGGGCCTTGCTCCCATCTCGGCCGTAGCCACGGGGTTAATCGCGTGGCATCTTTCACGGAAAGGTGCTCGGGGGCCGGGAGCGTCTCCCTCTCCTGTGGGGCGCGGGACAGCGTCGGAAACCTTTACAGTTGGAATATGTAGGTTTTTAATGGGCGACGCGTTCCCATGGAAACAAAACAAAGTCAAACACTCCCCTCGCAGTGCTAACAATTATTGTAATAAAATGTGTTTTTATTAAAAGCGATTTTAAATATTTAACACATGGCGGAGCGGCCTCGACGTTGCCCTGTGTGAAACCCAACCTTGCCCCTAGTGAAGTCCAAAGCCCTTTGTGCAGCACAGGGAGGAATTCGGTGTTTTCACCAATATTTGCGCTTTGCGAATGAGATGTAGCAGCCTCAAGTATGAACAAGATTATTTTTTTCTTATTCTGCTTAGTTATGCTTTTTATTATATAAACATTAACTGTAATATTACAGTGGGAAGCAGGTATTTGGCAACTATGTATTATTTTGCTAAGTTTGCATAGAGGGAGCAGTTTCCAGTTTTAGCAGCTGTAACATGTTTAAACTCAGTTTGTAATGGGATCTGAAGATGAATATTCCCTGTGGGCTCTGCTTAGCTTCATTACTGGAGCCCTGCCAAATTCAGGGCTAGAAAGTATTATTCACGCCTCTTTGCACATACCATGTCAGAGCATGCTCAGTTAATGAATTTTGTTTCTAATATAGCATAAATTAGGTTTATATTTTAACATAATTTATGTTGTATTTTATTAAAATGTAAAATATTATGATCACGAGCAATCTAATTTCTGCTCTCTTAAGCCCAAACTGTGTTTGAACATCTAAGTATGTAAATCAAAATTGCATGCTTAGAAACTGATTCTAGGATAACAAACGAATATCTGAACCAAAGAGGTTTCTGCCTTGGAGTCTTAGATTAAAGATAATTAAGGATTCCTGGTATTTGAACAGATTTATGTTGTTTATAAGCAAAGTACATTTTCTTCATAGAGTCAACTTGTCTTTTTTTTTTTAAAACAAATTATGTTTGCTGTATTAAAGTTCATATTTTTAAAGTCTGAGTCTTGTATTAATCCCACAGTGAGTCATTAATCATACCAAATGCATTATAAAAACTTTAATCACTGAAGTTGAAACTGAGATTGTAATGCAATCCATCCCTTTTAATTATATCAGTTATTTTTCCTTTCAGATCAAGAATTGCAAAGGGAAAACAGATAGATTAAAACTCAGTGTGTTTGATGCTTTCGGGGGAGGGTATTTTTTGTTTGTCTTTCTTCCTTGCTTTTTTAAAGCAATTTCGTGCACTTTGTGGAGCACAGTTCCACAGTGAAAAATTCCTTTGCTTTTAACTCTTTTCCTCTCTCCTTCTTTCCTAAAAAAGACAAGCCTCACTGGCGAAGGCAGGGAGCGTGGTGGCTCTCGCCGTACGGGTGCGTTGCAAGGGTGGCGGTGGGCTGGTGCCGAGGGCAGCGTGCCGGGTGCTGTGCCCGCCGCTGTAGGTTTCCTGCAGCCTTGCTCTCTCGTCGTCTGCCGGGTTCCTGGAGCCCACCCTTGCACACCAGGGAGCCACCAGCCTGGAAATTGTGTAGCTGTTGTCAAGTTGGCTGTGGCGTCGTAGGTGTTTTCCTGGGGTTTGCTGCATGCTTTTAAGGGTAGGGAGAGAAAACAAAAACAAATGGTGGATTTTTTTTTTTTTTTTTAAATCAGTCTAAAACGTAGCGGCTCATATCCTCATCTGGTACAAATTGGTGTAGCCACACAAACCACTGCAGCATTACTGACAACTGATCCATACCAACTCCTCTGAATTTATGCCACACTTTAATCTTGCTAAATAAATTGATATATCATACTTGGATTTGTAGATGTAGAGTTTACACTGTTGCTTTTATGGCATGGAAGAAAATGGATTTAAGTAGTAAACTGCTCGTAGTAGATACATTTTGTTCTTTGCTAGAATGGCAAAATCTGATCAATTATTTGTTCCTTAATCCCCCAGATTAATCCTGCCGTATGAAAGATTTATTAAAGGAGAGGAAGATAAGCCACTGCCTCCAGTGAAACCTCGAAAACAGGATAACAGTTCCCAGGAGGGTGAAGCAAAAACAAAAGTGTCTGGAACAAAACGCATCAAAAATGAAAACCAAAAGAGCAAGAAGGAAAAAGATAATGCACAGAAACCCCAAGATGCATCTGAGGTTGGTTGCTTTCCTGCTTTTCAACTTTTCAATTAAAAATGTACAGCTTTAATCATGTGAAATCCAGTGATAAAATACATAATTTAAACTGGAGAATTCCAACCAGTTGGCCTTTGCATTTGCTCGGCAATGGAAATTCAGTTGTTGTGGTACTGTCTGTGTTGGGATTTTGCTAGGCTACAAGCCGCAACCAGTTAGCTCCATATTGCATAGCGCTGGTGGCAGAAGACCAAGCGCTGGATGTAACAAGTACCATTTCTGCTCATTGTATTATACAGTGGTCACCACTAAAAGATCAGCAGCTGCCAAAAGGAAACCACACAGCTACCACAGTTATTTCCTAATCTAAGTATAGGGTGCGGGAACCTCTAATACTGTTGATAATACTGTGGTAACTCTTGGACACAGCTGATTTTTATAATGGTAACTTCTGGATCAGCCCTTCCATGCTCACAGATGTATGCAACGTCTGTCAAAAAACAGATCACTCCTCAGGATTTTTATCGTGTTATACTCAATTTCTCTTTGGATTAAAAGATCAGATTTTGAGGGAAACACCTTCCAAGCCCTGACTGAGACTGACTTCCCTCTCACATGCCACAGATGGTTTTCAGCTGAGATAGATTCCTATTCTGTCACCTGCTTCACATGGGCAGGCCCCGTTTCCACATAGAGCTGCGTTACCTGCAGTCATAGGACAGCCCTTGTGGAACAGATTTTATGTTCACAGCCTGGGGTAAGATAGATCAGTAGAATTCATATTTGTCTGCAAATAAGAGTAAGTTTCACGTGTTGTTAGGTAATATAAAATCAATGGGGTTTTTGCTCCGGTGTCACTTAAGCACTTTCTTTTGCACATCCTGCCCACTCTCTCCTGTGCCCTGCTTGCACCCTGTATGAACGAGGCGGTGAAGCTCCTCACACACAACCCCTACACAAGACATTGCTTTTCCTGTCTCGGTCTGCCAGATCACAGCAGCCTTCAAGGCATTGCAGTGAAAGTAAGTATTTAAAGAATGTCGAAACACATGATATGTCCGGCAGACTACGACTGCTCCTTTGACTTCATTGCCGTCTGGCAGGTACATAAGGTACATAAGTCCTGTTTCTAAACCAGCTTGGAAATTGATATTGAGTCAGGTACCAACAATCCTCCTCCTCACTGCTTAAAAAAAACAATGCAGGAGCAGTAAACATGGATGCCTCTGAGACTTTGTGTACCCAGTTTTGAGAACAGAAAATTTTGATTTTCATGTCCCACTACCTCTTTAAGTTGTGCTTACAAAGACAATTTCATCTCCCATCCAAACCAGAATTTGTCTTTTAAATTGCCTTGATCGACAGTACCTTTAATATCTAATGTAAGATCATTCCATAGAGAGGGGAGGTTTTTTTGTTTTCTCTAACACTGTAATTTTAAAGCAGGGAACCCTGTTGGGGGAAAACCCCTCCGTTTCTGATGAAAAATACGTAGAGAGGAGAGTGCGCGCAAACCTGTTTCAGTCACTGGGAGGCTGCAACACAAATTGCGTAAAGCAAGGAGATGCAAAGTGAAGGCTTGTGCTCCCTTCCCGTCATTCCTTTGTGCCTGGTTATTTATTGAGGGGGTCTTGGATCAGCAAGATACGTTACACACTAGCCATACCGCCACCACTAAGCACAACACACTTCAGCAACAGAGCGTCAGCCTTCACTTTGAATTTCCTTGCTTTTGTTGTTCCCTGTCTCAAACTTCCTGCTACTTAAACTGCAGTTATTTTTGTGTGGTTTGCAGGAAGAGTTCTTAAGCTGCACTTATCGGAAATGTAGGGAGCCTAGACGAGACAATAAAAATGTACAATTACGGCAGTTTCCCATTGTAAAATGGTACCTTTTATAGCAGAATTAATGTCTCCTCCCTGACTGGGATGGAAGATGTGTCCTGCCCCCGTTTGATCAGGGTGGGCGATTAAGGACCTCAGCCTTCATGCAGGTCACCGTACGGGCAGGTGGTCACACGAAGCCCAAGCAGGGAAGGGGCCTGCAGGGGTGGACGCTTCCACCCTGGGTGGGTGCAGAGCTGCAGAGCTCAGCCATGCTCTGCCATAGGGAGGGCCCTGTGCTGAGGATGTGGCCCTTACGGGGCCACCAGAAAGGAGGTATCCAGCTCCTTTGGGTGGAGCGAAATCCAAGTCTGCTGGAGCCAGGCGAAGGTTGCATGTCCCTCTCTCTCCAGCTATCCCCCAGCAGTGGAGCCACGTGCCAGGCTCCACATTTGGGTGCAGTCCTCATCCAGGCACAGCAGTGGTGGTGTGCTGCTCCCAGGGAGCCTCTACAGCCACACACGTAGATGTGTAGGCATGGCCCCAACCAAGCCACCACTTCAGCCATTTCTGCATGTGGCCTGGAAGCTGGCCGTAGCTGCGAGCTGTAAAAGCTTAATCAAGTTACAAATGTGCGGTCCTCTCAATTGCATGTTAAACTCATACACCATAAGAAGTATGCAGGGAGAGAATATAACTTTAATTTATTAGGGTTGCATTTGCTTTTGTACTCTTCGCTGTTTTTCTGCCATCGCAATGACATTGTCGATGTAACAAGATACCAGACAAAATGCTATTAGCCTTAGACTGCACATTTCCTCACAATAGCTGAAACTTCAATCAAAATGTTGCTTAACAGAAACAAAGAGCAGAATGTACAGTTATTAAATATGATTTCTCTCTTTTTTTCCCCTCCTTGCTTTGCTCATCTGTCTGGTATTTTCCTGTAATTTTATAAGCTCAAGAGACTAGCGATGGTACTTTGTAAAGGACCTAATGATGGTATTTGGCTGCAAAAGGCAGCTATGAGTTTAAAAAGAAGTTAGGATGACTAACAGACACTGTAACTAATAGGCCAACCAAACAGACAGGAATATTTAAAAGCAGCTGTGAAGAAATAAATCTCTGAGAGGGTTAGATTCGTTAGGACCCTTCTCCAATCCCCTGCTCCTACGACAGACCATAAAGCGCATTTAGATAATAACTTTCTCGATGCGTCTTATCTTTACAATGAAGAAAGAAAGAAAACAATAATAATAAAGGGCTCACACAATGCTGCTGTTTTATGACTGTCTTCTACCACGACATGTCAGAGGAGAGTGACAGCAGTTTTGAAAAGGGCTGTCAGTCAGCTGGATCGCAGATGGGACGCTCTGGTGACCTCTGCGGGTCACAGTTCAGCCGGCTACATAATGGGATGAATAGTGTGAATTGTGCACACAAGCTTTATTAATGGGGGAGCAGAAAGAGCTGCGGTCCCATTGACGATAACGTATAAAAGCCATGTTTGTAATAGCAGGCACACACACTTACTGAATGTTGACAACTTCATTTTAATCCGTTAATAAAAAAATGTGTGTCCTAGTTAAGCTGTGGCAGTGATTTGCTGCCTACAATAGGGATTCCTAGTATGCCATTTCTGTCATTTTCACACTTTAATGCAGAACTGGATGTGAATGATCTCCTCTGTGATCACTGAATTTTAAGATAGCTATGCTGGAGAGACTTTATGTAAGAAAAAACATGGGAATCATCGTGTCGTTTTCGTAGGTAAAGTTGTCTAGCAGGAGAAATTTCTATAGCCTTATCATTTGTGTTATGAAATCTGCTCTCCTGCATTTGCCTAATTAATTTTAAAAGAGTGTAACCTCAGCGTTTAGCTATCTGGTCAAGCTACTGGTGTCTCTTGTCAGGTTACAAACATCTGCTGTTTTGAAATGCGTTGTTGTGACCCTGGCAGGGATGGTGTATTTCTTAATATTTCCAGGAGGTATTTTTCTTTGTTTGAGTCCGATACCTGGCGTTAGAGCCTTCACGTTCCAGCGCGGTGATTGACAAGTACTTCTCTAAAAGTAGCCAACGGGGTACTGTGTATGATCTGATGAACAGTCTGCCGAAATGCACCGTGTTCTTATTACTGTCTGTTGAATCATTTTATTAGATTTCATCCGAACAAGAGAAGGATCAAGAATCAGCAGACCAGAAAAATTTCCCTGAACATCCTACAGCGGGAGAGATGAAACAACCCGTGCAAGGCCCTCCATCTCTTTTACCAGAGACAGCTCGGCCACTGCCTCTGGAAAAGACAGACCTGACAGAAAACAGCACGAACAGTGAGAAAGCCAAGGAGGAGGTTCAAAAAAATCAGCAGTCATCCTCTTTCTCAAGTATATCTGTGCCCCCAGAAGAAGACACCATGCTGGATGCCACGGTCACAAAACGATTACATCCCCCAGCAGATGCCCTGGAAGACACAAAGCCTGAACAAAGACTACACAAAGCTTTTACTGACAGCTTAGAAAGCGAACCTTCAGAAATGCCCTTCACGGCTTTCCCTGTCCAGTTGCCCACTCAGAGCGACATGGAAGATGACAAATTGCCAGAGATGGCCGATTACATTGCAAACTGCACAGTGAAAGTGGACCAGCTGGGAAACGAAGATATCCACAATGCACTAAAGCAAACGCCCAAAGTGCTGGTGGTCCAGAACTTCGACATGTTCAAGGAAAAGGAGCTGCCCGGGTCCATGAACGATGACTCCACTTTTGGTTACACGCCGCTGCTCTACTCAAAGGGTAATCCAGGCATCATGTCACCCCTGGCAAAGAAGAAGCTGCTGTCGCAGGTCAGTGGGGCAGCCCTGTCGTGTAGCTATCCTTATGGTTCTCCTCCACCTTTGATCAGCAAAAAGAAACTGAACGGCAGAGATGAGCTGTCCTCAAGCATATCACAAGGTCCCCACGCCCCTAATTCTGATCCTGTAGCAATTAATAGGCCCTCAGTCATACAACACGTACAGAGTTTTAAAACCAAGGAAGAAAGGAAATCCATCAATGACGTTTTTAAACATGACATGCTAAGTAAACCGGATCCTCAGCGCTGTGATTTTTCAAAACATCACCTCAGTTCTCTTGCCGAGTCGTACGTACCGAAGACAGATATCCAGGACTGTAAAGATAAAATGAGTGAGAAAAGGGCACTGCAGCACTCCCATGTGCCCACTTTCTTGGCAGATTTTTATTCATCACCTCATCTGCACAGCCTTTATAGGCACACAGAACACCACCTTAATAATGAACAGACATCAAAGTACCTCCCCCGGGACATGTTCAGAGAGTCTGAAAATATTTCTACTTTTACTCAACACAAACACCAAGAAAAACTAAATTTAAATTATCGCCCATCTTTGCATCAGCAAGAAAAAAAGGCATCAGTGGAGGCCTCTTCAGATGATCAGCCAACAGATTTGAGTCTTCCAAAGAGCATACACAAACAGACTGCAAAGGCTCCGGGCTCCAGCCTCCCTCATTCATCCATGGCCCAACAAGAAGGCAAAGGTATCTCCCCGTTCCAGGCTGCGAGCAGCCAGGCGGTGAGCCTAGACTGTAACCCCAAAGCTTGCCGCGTGTCCCCCATGGCCATGACAGCCCCAAAAAAACACAGCGAGTTGCTCCACAGGTCTGGGAAGCAGCAGGCCCAGAGGCTGGAGAATCTGAGGAAGATGGAGGGGATGGTGCATCCTATCATCAGCCGCAGAACGAGCCCTCAAAACGTAGGGGCTGCCCGGCCTTTGAAACGGAGCCTGGAGGATTTGGACAAAGTCATTTCTGAAAAAAAAATCCGAGCTGTCTCTCCTCTGCACTTACCAAAGGAGACCCCGGTGAAAGACAAGGTTCCCGACCCAGAGGGGGAAGGCAGCAAGCCGGTGCACGGCCTCCACTCTGGCAGCATGCTGGAAAGCCACAAATTTCCCCTCTCAGCCCCCATCTTCCCAGGCTTGTATCCGGGAAGCCTGTGTACAGGGCTGAACAATCGCCTCCCACCTGGGTATTCTCATCCCCTGCAGTACTTGAAAAATCAGACCGTGCTCTCCCCACTAATGCAGCCTTTGGCTCTTCACTCCTTCATGGTGCAGAGACAATTCCTCACGTCCCCTGCAAACTCTCAGCAACTGTACAGACACTTAGCTGCAGCAACACCTGTAGGAAGTTCCTACGGTGACCTTTTGCATAACAGCATTTATCCTTTAGCTGCTATAAACCCTCAAGCCACATTCCCACCTTCCCAGCTGTCCTCTGTACATCCCAGCACAAAACTGTAAACCCCCTCGCTCACAAAAAAAAGGTCTGAGGAGAAAAGTTAAGTTAGCAACATTCCTCCACCTGCGACGATGTCTCGCAGATTTAGCGATCTGTATCGTTGTCAACCAGGACGCAGTCGTATCCCGCCCAGCGGAGCGCTTCAGAGTTTGGAGACAGGACTGCTTCTTTAATTCTGGGTCCCACATCAGCCCCCTCGCCCCTTATCCCTGCCCCTGCAAAAAAGAAACAAACAAACAAAAAAAAAACAAAAAAAAAAGAAAGAAAAAAAATCATTGGATTTTACATACGTGTTTTCTGAAGGGACTTGCATATGGTAAGAGCAGATGTTCAAAGGGAGCCATGGAAATGCAGGCCCAGTCCGGAGCTCACTGAAATCCCAGGTGAGGGCTGCATTTGCCTTTCACTGAGCCAAGGACCAGAGGCCATGCGTTGTTGCAAATGAGTCAAGGACTCGAGATGAACCTGGAAAGGAGAAGCGGGCCGAGAATCCGTACAATCAGTGGATGTGCTTTTTTGGGTAACTTTTCCTGACTTCTAAAGATTCAATCAATGCAATGTATAGTAAAACGGCAATAGATTTTTCATTTTAACACTATTAGAAGAGAAGCGTAAACACTGTTTAATTTGACTGTACATATCCACTTCGTAAACTACCAGTGTCACATTTGGTCACAATAATTTATATAGTTTTGTTTGTCCAGTATATTCTGTGCTCTTTATGTTTGTTTTTTTGTTTTGGGTTTCTTTTTTTTTAAATTAAACAATATCATTTTATCTGCAACTTTTTTTAAAGGCTGTGGCTGTCCTAATTTTTTTTTTTATGTGTTTGTAATTTTTCCAGTTTCTTTATACTTTTGAGCAGCATTTTTATTTCGTTTTTGTGGTAACGTTTACTGTTTACAAACTGAAGCAACTGGTTCAGATTAATCTTAACAGTTATAAACATACTGTAGGTGATGTTATGGTGCAAGGATGCAAACAAGGTTCCTTTCCCCACGGTCCGCCCCTGCGAGGTGCTGAGCACCTCTCGCCCTCCTCCTGTTGTTGGGATGGCTCCTACGCCGCTTCTCCCCTCCCACCGAGCTTTGCTTTCCCGTATCGTGGTCCGTGGATTTGTCGAGCGTTGTATTTAAGCTTACTTAGGCTGTGAAACCTTCCTGCCTACCAGAGAAACGGTCTAGAAAACATAACCTCCCTGGCGCAAGCTGCTGGATGGCAAAGGAGTCCAGAAAACACATTTGTGGTTTGCGAGAACGTCGAGAATTTCAGAAATTAGGACAGGCGCCAATGCTGATTTGGATCAGAGGCTTACGGGGCCCGTGCCACACAAGCGGCCGGGCTCGGTCGGACGGGCAGGGGGTTGCGCGCGGTGGTCGGGACGGTCCTTCCGCCCCTGTGGGGATCTCGGCCTCTCCCTGGGCATCCTTTCGCAGGGGGAAAGCCCGGGTGTGGAGGGGCTGGGTTTTCCTGATGAAAGAGCTTCCCTGTGGATGTATATTCACTTTGAAGGACGTCACCACCACGCAGCTGAGCATAGACATCAATAAAGCGAAGTGTGACTTGGAGGCTTTTTACAATGTGAAAATTGGTTGTGATTCAAACCATCTCAGTTACTGTTCAAAGACAGCGTAATCGATACGAAAAGAAAAATGGAAACTACTAAGAAACACTTTGCATGCTAGGCATGTCATTAAATTTTCCCGTGATATGAAGCCAAATACAATATATAATGTATCATACTTAATATCCAAAGGTGGAAACCAGAATAATATACTCGTCTACTGTTAAAGATCCAGCTTCTTCAATTAAATACTTTATATTCCTGTGGTAAAACTATATTTAATTGATCGATAAACAGACTAGTAGAACATAGAACATGGATGTGCCAGTGCAGAGCATCCTGCTGCTCCACAAATCGTGCAGGAAACGGAACGGCAGGCTCAGCCGGGCAGAGGCCGCAGTGTGGAGGACACCTCTAGCAAAGTTGCACTAGATCTGAATCACGTGAGAATCAGGGGCTTGGGGATGGGGGGGAGGAGGGCGGGGGGCAAGGGGAGAGAACATACAAATCTGCCGCAAACGCAAACAGAAGCTTGTCGCGTGTTTGGTGAAGCAAGCGCTTCTCTTTCTTGTTTCGGTTAAGTTGTGTGTCCTGGAGTCGTGCATTTGTTTACGCGAAGTGTCCGATTTCCCTTTCGGTTACGTCCCGTTGGAGTCTGATGGTAGCCTTTTCGGGGCCGCGCTGAGGCAGCACAGGGCTGGGGGACGGGGAGAGGGGAGGAAGGCTCCTTGCTTGCCCCGCGAGGAGACGGGCCGCTGCTGGCTGGGGAAGCTCGTAATATACTGGGCAAAACGTCAGGGCGAAGGAAAAGAAGTGGTAGCATAAACCCCCAACAGAAGCGGTGCATTATTTGTTTAAAAACTCTTAACAGAAATCTTGGACATCTTTCAAAAGGCTATTGAATTCTCCATTGGCTGAAGTCTTTTTTGTTTTTAATGTCTTAAATGGGGCTTTGTTTGCATTGTTTGAGTTCGAGGGGCCTTATTATTGAATGAAATTGCACAAGCCTTTCTTTGTGCAATCAAACCATTGTTATTGGTAGGTTTGTAAAGGAAACTGTGGAATCTAATTGGCAATAGAGTCATAAATCTATTTACCAGGAGCCAGTTCCAAGAAATGTTGCAATTCAAACGCACTATGTCCAGGATTCATTAGGGATGCTAAAGGTTGCGAGGTTCAAAGGAAAAGGCCCGGCAGCAAACAGCTCGCGTGTAGCTTCTGGCCGCACGCTGAGCCGGACTTCGCGAAACGCGTGGGAAGTAGGGTCTGACTCCCAGTAAAATCCGTACCCCTAGCAGGGCTGGACAGGAGCAAGCCGGTGTTTTGCCGCAGGTCTGTCTTGGCTGCGTGCTGCCCTGATGCGAGACTTTGCCCGGTGCGTCGGTGCCTAGGAAATAGTTTGTCCCAGCTGCAGAGAAGCTGGCTTGGCAGCCCCCGGTGCTGGGGCAGGAGGCGAGCACTGCGCCTGCCTCCCTCAGCACCTCTGCCCCGTTCAGGGGGCTGCCGCCTCCGGAGACCACCGCTGGGGTCTCCTCGCCGCTCCCCTGCCTGGTCCCTTCCCTGGCGGTGCTCGGCAAGGTCACATCTGGCCCGGTGTTGCAATTGTCGTGATTTTAATGAGCAATGGGACTTGTTGGGCTGGTGTGAGGCGGGCGGCATTGGCAGCGCGGCCGCCGGCGCTTCCTGCGGTGTTTGCTGTACGCGTGGTTGATATTTCACTCGTTCTCTTCCTCCTCCTCCTCCCCTCTCCCCCCAGCCCCGCAGTTTTAAATATGTTCTAATAATGGCAGCATAATCTACTAGCTGTTTATACTTTTTTAACTTTCTTTTGTTGTAAATATTGTATACTTTTTGTGATTCAAGTTATGTAGCCTATATGCTCTGTAAGGTGATGATTTGTATATATAAAAATGGCCCAGTAATATTATATAGTTTCCCATTTAAAAGGTTATTGAGTAACCTTTGCGTTAGTTTAAACACTACCAGAAATAAAGCTGAGCCAACTATAAACACTCAATTTTTGTATGTTTTCCAAATTGTACTTATTAATGCTTTTGATACTGTATTATGTGCCAATAGTTTCCCAATCACATAGCAGGCAAAAGATATTTTGTACTTTTTGATCCACTGTAATATTTAATAAAAAATGTTACTATCTGTTCCCTTTTGTGTTTGATTAATAATTCTGTAAACAGCCCTTATCGCAATGGATTACATATTATCCCATCCGACCTTTCAGCCCTCTTATATTGGCTTTTCTAGAGAAAATATCTCCTCCTGCAAATGATTAGATTAAAGAAATGGAAGTTTGCAATTTCCTAAAGGAGGAAGAGACAAGATCTTCAGTCAGTGCCCCTCTCGCATCTTGCAGTGTGCTCGCATTAAAGTCTGGCTGTGGTCAGGCTGACTGTAGGAATAGCTTTTGAGGGATAACATCCATGCATAGCCAGTGGCTCCAGTAGCGAATTTGCTCCAGAGCAGGATTTTTGTCCGCCAGTACTGCAGGACTGAGCTGGGATCTGAAAATTGCCCCCTGTTCTTCCCAGCACGACCACGAGTAAGATTTTGGAGTCGGATGCTAACTAGTAATTTTACTGACGACAGTAAACAACCACCAAGTAAAATTAATTTGTACTCTCTTCCTTCGTGGGTCCAAAAAGCCCCCCTAAGCAGGGCGGCCCTTGGAGAAGCTGTTCCCACAGCAAGCGCTGTCAGGGCGCTGTTGTGCTCCTGGTCTCGGTAGCTGAGAAAAACCATTTACGTGCTGTAGGTCAGGACTGGGTAGCGGCCTCGCCTGGCACATCTCGGCCGCGGGGCAGGCGTGCCCCGGGGGCTGGGACCGCGCTGCAGTCCCGGATCGTGGCTTGACAACATGGTCCTGGGGGGAGCGTGCAGGGGGGAACCTTCCCCATCCGTGGGAGTCCAGGAGCTGAAGCCGTGAGCCCGCGCCAGTGCAAGGCGGCTGCTGCTTCATGCACCTGCCCTGCACCACGCGTGGCTGAGGCTGGTTGCAGCGCTAGCGTTCCCCAGCGCCCAGGGAGCTCTCTCCTGCTCTGTGGCTCCGAGGGCAGCGCAAGCCACGGGCCGAGGCTGGGGTGCAGTTACGGTCCGGCGACGTAACCCCTGGCTGGCGGGGAAGTACGGGAGCACGGCATGCAGCGGGGAAGCTGCTCCCCTACCCGCGCTGCAGCTGGGTGAGCGCAGGCCAGGCCGATGTCACTGTTAGATGAGGCTTCCAGATACACGCTGCCATTCAGGGAAAGTCTCAAAAAAAAGTATTTCTTGTGTGTGCTGGGAGATGAGGGGAAACACCAGCTCGGGCGAAGAGGCGGCCGTTGGGCAGATGTGAAGCGGGGCAGTGCCGCTGAGCGCCATGGGGCTGCGTCGATGCACAGGCTGGGCGCGCCGGGGGACGGCAGGGTGACGCCTGCCCGGTCCCCGCACATGGCTGGGCTGAGCAGCTCCATGCAGCCCTGTGCCGCCTCGCCAGTGGGGACGGTGCGGGAGCAGGCGTGAGGGCAGGACAGGCACTCGTGGTGTGGCCCACCGGCGCGGCGCCCAGCGAGGCGCTGCCTGAGCCAGCGAGGGGGTCACCGCTGCACTTAATTGCCCTCAACAAGCTCTCTTCTCTTTTGACGTCTGAGTCCTCCTTCAATCATTTGCTCTTCAGAGTGGGCTGTGCAAGGTTTTCCATGGTTTCAGTA